GTGGAAGCTTGTGTTTGTAATGGTGGTTGTGCTACAAAAAAATGTCCATGCAAAGCAGCTAAAGTACCATGTGGTACAAAGTGTCATCCTGCTAAAAAGAAATCTTGTACAAATATATAGATGTAAACTCGTGGATGAACTGAACGATCTCCAATGTTGCTCTCTACTTTATAAATAAATAAGTCATATTCTTTTGCAGATCATCATCGTATAAGGGCTAATTTTATTTTTTATTACAATAGAAATTCATATATTTTCATAATATAACCTTTTAGTAGAATTTAAAATTCTACTATAGTAGAAATTAAAATTTTAATTTCTGCTAGTGTAACTTAAAATTGCCTGCTATTTCAATTTCTCCTAGTAGAAATTGAAATTTTAATTTCTACTAGTAGAATTTTAAATTCTACTGAATTTTAATTTCTACTCCAACATATATATAATGTTTTTTTTTTCATTCTTCCTCGATTCTTATTTCAACTATATATTATATGTAACTGACTTTTTTATTTATCTTAATTAATTTTTGTTTTTTGATATACAGTGCAGCTCAATAGAATTTACCCTCTTTGTATTCTTCCTTTTTCTCAACCATAGTTTGGTCTTTTCTTTCGAAGTCACCTACCAAAAGAAAGAGCAGAATCTGCTGCATCTTTTGATATATGAAGCTTATGGATGAAATCGAAAGAGAGCAGAGAAAACCGCATCGAGAAAAAAAAGTAGATTTTTTTTCACTACAACGTTGTGCATAACCTTTTGCTAGATGGAGGTAATAGAGTCATACTTTTCTAGTTACTCAAACTTATAGAACTTTCTTCGCTGATCATCTTGGCTGAATTTATTTCGAGTTTCACTTACAAAATGACAATGCTCCGATAACAATATTCATGATTTCGAGGTGCTGTGGATGATGGAACTAAGCAATTCATTAGTATTGCAACCCAAATGCCATAATTATTTTAGAAAAAACTCGAAATAAATTCAGTCGAAATGATCAGCGAGGAAAGGTCT